AAGGATAGAATATCTGGTATTCTCCGAAAATGGGAGAAAGATACTTTTTTCACAGGTCTGGATTTACTATTACTTCTCTCTACCATTAACTCATGCCAGAGATTGCCTCTAGCTTGTGTTTTATGTGGGAATTGCAATATAATTGTTTGCTTGAATTGATTTTGTTATTATTTTCTGACCCAATATGTCATTGAATACCAGTGCTAGAGAATTTTAAAAAATATGAAGGCTTTCAAGTCATCTAACCCAAGTGTTTCAGGAGGAGTCTGTTTGGAATTTCACTTTATTTTATTGTTGCATGGATTACAAGACTAAATGAATGCTTGCAATGAAGCTCATTCTCTCATCACTTGAAAGGCAGTATAGTGTTTATTTGGTTTTGATAGTAATAAATGTTAAGAGGAAGATTTGGTACCAATATGAGTAAATATGGAATATCAGAATTACTTAGTATCCAAGAGCTTCACAACTAGGGAAAATGAGGATCCATTGTTTGAAAAAATGATAAATATCATATGATATCTAGGTCTGATTTACATTGTTTCTATTTATAATTTGTAGATTGTTGCACTGTTATTGTTCATAATGGTAGTGAAGTTAAATCAGTTATGACTCCTGGATGAGTTAATTACCTGGCTTCTGTAATTGGTGTTACTCTACTTACTTTGATAGAAATATTTTAAGGTAGAACTGTTGAAATTTTGTCTCAATGTGTCTAGTCTCTAGCTCATCAGCTTTAAACAGAACCTTTTTGTAGTGTTTTAAATAATTTTAAACCTTGTTCAGCCTTATACACCTAATTAAACTTCTTACCTTTCTTGTATCAAATAAACTACTTGTTTTAACTGCTTTTAAAGTATTTAGTGTCATGCCTAACTCAGAATACAAACAATCCAAAATAACAGGCATCTCTTGACACTGCCTGCTGGATCTTTTAAATATGCCTTCAGTTTTGCTTAGCCTGATTCTTTGAGAGAGAATTGCTAGTAAAGACGTCTAAAAAAGAGAGAGCTCAAGAAAGCTTTAATGACCTGTGGGGCACAACTTCAAAGGAATCAACAGCAGCATAACTTCTTTGTGGCGTAAATTCATTTCTAGCCTAATAAACAAGTTTTTTTAATAAATTTTCATTATGGTAGTAGGAAGTTAATTCATTTTTTGGAATTATGGTCTTGAAATCTTGTACATAGTAAAGTTGTCCAATATGCAGGAAATAGCAAATGTGAATTAATTCCTAGATAAAATTAGTATGCACTGTTCTTCAAGGATTTGTCTGTTTTGGGGTTTTTTTTCTATAATCAAAATTTCAGTTAAGATCAGCCTTGTTCTCTGCCTCCCCCACATTAGTTCCATTGTCTTGATTTGCATCATTTGTGGCAGTTGGCTTCTTGTCAATCTGTGGTTTGGACCTTTACATCAAACAGTAAATTAATTAAAGGAAAAGAAATCCCAATAATACTTCTATGCTTAGAGGCTTTCACAATTATCAAAAAGTAAATGTTGCTGATTCTTGTCGTAGATGAGAATTGGAATATGGGGAAGGAGGCATAGCTTTCTTCACTGGTATCACCATTAGTTATCTCTAGAAGTAAGTGTTGGTCAGTTACCTGTGCCTTCCCTTTCCTAGTCCTTCCTGTCATTTGTTATAAAGTTAAACTAGAAAAAAAAAAAAGCAATTAAAATAAAAATGGTGCCAGATATGTTTTTTTAAAGGATGTATAGCCTTAATGCATCTCGAGTGTAGAAGCACTCTCAGGAGTTTATTGGAAGCTCTGCTGCATCCTGAATGTTAGTTCCTTTTCCCTATACCACAGTTTAAAAACATAACCAAAATAACCTACTTGAATTCATTCTGTTATATCTGATGAACTTCTGTTTCTTGTTCTGTAAAGAGCAATCAAGAGACTCTTTTAAAGTCAAGCAACACTTACTCACGAGCATATTGTCCAGAAGGTGCCCATAGAAACAGACTATCGAAATGTGCACAGTTGGTGTTTAGCCCCTCAACATGCATTTCTGATAGCAGCAAGCAATTTAGTCTTCTGTCAAGTTTGCTGCACTGTGTTAAATTTGTTTCTTTTCTTAATAGCCATGAGTAATGGTTAGGAAATTAGCATTGCTTTTTGTATTTTGCTGCACTTCTGCTATTTATTTTTTTTTAAGAAAAAAAACCAGACAACAAAACACAGCATTTGAACAATAGTTCCTGTGATGGGAACTATTGTTCAAAGAGAGTGGAGGTGAGGAAGTCAGGATGCAGTATAAACTTGAAGGAAGTATGTTCTACTTAGAGTGAAATAATCTATTGAAGTGATGGTCTAGTTTAGTCTAATTTATTTGCTATCTTCTATTGCTTATTTCCCCCAATTTTGTGTATTTTCTTGAACAAATAGGTACACATTCCTTGGCTATCATTTCAAGATATGTGTCATCTCTGACTTTCTGATGTTTTTTTGCTATCTTTAACTGAGCTATCTCATGTAGTCTATCTTTTCAATAGTGTGCAGAACACGAAAGAAGGTAATACCTTGCCCAGAGAATATTGAATTTGGTTAGATACAGTGTCTGTTTTGTAGCAATATCTTTCCTCATTTTCTATACCATATTGTTAGCACAGTTTAAGAGCTCAGTCCAGCATTATTCCAAGGTCATTTTGACAGTCCTGCTGTGGTTCTGATTCTTTTGTATTTGTCTCCAGTTTTGAGCTGAATATGAAATCTAGTGGTTTTGCTTTTGAATGGGAAATTTAATTTACGACTTGTCAGCTTGTTTACAAAGATGATATCACTATGGAGGACTCTCCTAAATATATATGTGGCTTTTCTCTTTTGTTCTCTGTTCACTTCTTTATTGCCATGAAGTGTGGAAATACACAAAAATCACTTCAAAAATCGCAGTTCAAAGTTGTCACTGCTGACTGTCTCCTTCAGGCCGCCTAGGCAGTGCAGGCTGGGTACAACAGCAGACAGTTGGTGGCTGCACATGCAGGGTATCTACTCAAGAAATACTTGCCTTCTCCCAGCATCCCTGCCCTTTGTCGGCCCCCAAAACTCCAGCTGATTGACAAACCTTGAGTAATCACTTGTAGAAATGGATTTTTTTTGTTTGAGCTTTTTATTATTTTTAAGTAGAAACCCATGTATATTTCCAGATACACTCTGTTCTTGTGTCTGTTTTATGCTGATGAGGTGTTGCATAATCTCTGAAATTTGTCATGAATCTACTGTCATAGGCTTTAAAACATATGTTTAATTTTCAAGGTACTTGACACATTTTAATCCTGTGTAAAATGAATAGTCCAAAATGACTGAGAGTCTGCTAAGCAGCAGGTTATAGCGTGAGTTAGAATCATTAAGTCCATCTGGATTTGTCTCAAGCTGAAATAATGACCAAGTTTTCTTGGTTTATATACTGGAAGTCACTTGAAAGACTGAGTCTCAATGAGGTTTTGCTGTGAATTTTTAGATTTGACAGCTGAGATTTGCTTTGGAGATTCTACATAAGAGGAGCTAAGCTTTTTCTTTCTTTTTTTTTTTTAAATTAAATGACAAACTTTTTCCTTCATTTTTTTTTAAATGGAGTGTGATCCAAGTCTAAATAAATCTATTCTTTGTCTTCAGGTGAGGTATGTTCTGTAGTTGTGTGGGCTAGATAATCAGGATGAGACAGACAAACTTGTGATGCATACTGCTGTGGAAAACCAAATTGAAATATAACGGCACTTAGACATGCACAAAAAGACCTGCACTGGTGGGCACACAGAGGAACACAGCACTCAAACATGCTTCATCCCAGCCTGAAATGTCTCTGGTGCTCGTGACAGTGTGTACTCTACCCTTGCTGTGTTATCTGAACTGCTGCTTGAACTGGGATGTCTTTTCAATTTTTATAGGAAGTGAGGAGCCGAGATTTATGTCATGTTTTTCAATAGTTATTTTTATCTCACTAGAAACTATGATGACAGTATTTATAGCCAGGATAAAACGCCCAAAAATAGTGTTCAAAGTGCATACAACTGTTCTTGTGATTGTTTGGAGTTTAATTGATAAAATGGGAGATTTTTCTCTGTGGTTATGTGAATGGTCACTCTGATTTCACAGAATCACAATGGTTAGGTTGGAGGGGACCACAGTGGGTTGTCTGGTCCAACCTCCCTGCTCAAGCAGGGTCATCCCAGTGCAAATGGCTCAGGATTGCATCCAGGCTGTGCTGGAATATCTGCAGTGAGAGAGAATCCATGACCAATTTGGGCAATCTGTTACAGTGTTTAGTGACTTGCACAGTAAAGAAGTTCTTCCTTGCATTCAGGTCCTTCCTGTTCATAAGTTTCTGCCTGTTGCCTCTTGTTGTATTGCTTGGAACCACTGAGAAGAGTTTGGATCCATCCTCCTGATGCCCTCCTTTCATATACTTAGAGAAATTGATGAGGTTCCCTCTCAGTCATCTCTTCTGAAGGCTGAACAGGTCCAACACCCTCAGTGTTTCCTCATAAGAGAGATGCTCCAGACCATTAATCATCTTTGTTCCTTCTGAGGGACCCACTCCAGGAGCTCCATGTCCCTCTTGTGCTGAGGAGCCCACAACTGGACTCTAAAAAACAATGGATTGCTGCTGCTAAAGCAATGGGTTTAGATTTCACAGTGACTGTAAAATTTGTATCCTGGTTGACTGAATTTTTCTTGCCTTTATTTAGGGATGGGAATGGGAAATTTTTAAGCATAGCAAGAAGCACAGTGTTTATAATTAATTTGTCACTTTATACTTCCCCTGGAGTCTATGGATATTTTGTACTTGTTTACTTGGCCAAATAAACCTGTTAACAAGCATGGAAGTTCTGAGAGACATATCAATAGTAAAATGGCTAGTTTATATGTAGAAACTTATTCTTTGGAATTTAAAACTTGTAGAAAGGAAATGTGTGTTAGTGTATTTCACTTTGACAACTTTGGTGGGGTTTTTTAGCATGTCATTTCACAGATCCTTAATATTTTTTAATACAGGTAACGAATTTGGACATCCAGAATGGCTTGACTTCCCCAGAATAGGAAATAATGAGAGCTACCACTATGCCAGAAGACAGTTTAATCTTACTGAGGATGATCTTCTTCGCTATAAATTCCTAAATGCCTTTGATAGAGATATGAATAGACTGGAGGAAAGATTTGGCTGGCTTGCATCTCCCCAGGTAAGCTGTACATACTAAATGCTAAGTTTTAGTCACCAGTTGGGTACCTGTTTAGAATAACAACAGTACCAAATTTACATGCAGAAATTTTAAACAGCGCTTTATTATGCTCTGCGTAATGCTTCACCATATATTTCAAGTTGTTAAAATATGGCACTGAAGTATCTTCCACAGATAATAGAAATCTGAAACAGTCTCTCCTTTTAGTTTCATAGCAAGATCTGTTCCTATTATTTTTCCTATTTTTTTAGTAATCGTGGATTGGATAAAGCAGCCTGTAAAGTTGTCTGTAATTCAATCCAAGGATTGCTTTGGGAAATTGTAAATTGTCCTGACAATACATTTTGTAAAAATAATTACTCTGTTTCTGCGAGAACTTCCAGCAGAGTATAGTGTAAGTTATAATCTGGTCTTCAACCTGCCACTTTTGTATTTGCATTTTTTGCTCAAGTGTTGCATTGTAATTTTTATGAAAGAAACTCAATTATTGTAATTTCTCAGTGTTTAATTATTTCACACTAGTCATAATCCACTTCAAAGACTTTTTTAAAATGGATATCTAGTTATTTATTAATGGCTTTAGCAAATAGAACAAAGGTGGTATGTGCAGCAGTTTAATGTGGCTTATCAAAGCTTTCTCACACAGATTTCTAAAAAACAAACAGATACCATATCCAGTACTTCATTTTCTAAGTTAATAGCAGTAGATGTGATGCAGAGCCCCATAGCAAGTATACTGAAGATTTTCTTTGATAAAAGGAATCCATTTTTTGCTAAAGCAAAGTGTGATAAAATCCCCCCATGTTACCAATCTTTGAGCAAGAATTTTTCAAGTGCTCTATGCCTTACAGGCTTTTACCTCTTTAGTTTTACATTGCCTTATAACAAATAAGCTACAGTGTAGTAATCAAAAACTTTATATGACATTACATAGGTAAACAATTTCATTTTGCATGTTAATGCCCTCATCTATGTTGCTTGCATCTGTTTTACCCAAAATGAGGTATAGAAGCAACGGGTTTTTTCTTGGGTTTGTTAATTTGTTTAGTAATTAAATATTTTATAGTATTGATATTTTTTTTTTCCTTTCAAGGCCTATGTGAGCGAAAAACATGAAGCCAATAAGGTCATAGCATTTGAGAGAGCAGGTCTCCTTTTTGTTTTCAACTTCCATCCATATCAAAGTTATGTGGACTACAGAGTGGGTATTGAAACTCCAGGAAAATATCCTTTTCTTTGCTGTTTTCACTTGTGCAGAAAAGTTTTAGAACTTGAAAACTGATTTTATTTCTGTTTTCTAATACATATTCAAACTGTAGTTAAAAGATGAGAAATCACTTAATTCTCATCAATATGATCTTGCTTTAATTCTTAGTGTACAGCAAAAATATGATTCAGAAATTTGTCTTCATAAGAGATGATTTTGTAGAAAAAAAAGTAAACAACTGCAATTTAAAGACTTTTTGAAGTTGTGTTGAGGCAGGAAAAAGCAAGTAACTCCTACTGAAAGTATGGAAAATGACCACAGTAAGATGATGCTGTGCAAATAGCCACACAGGAAAATGTTACCAGGCATGGTAAAAGGTACAGAGCTTCTTGTCTCTCTGGCCTGCATTTCTGGAGGAAGTCCTCTGTTCTGAACTCATTAAAAATGCCACTGTTATTTATTTGTAAGTTGTTGGCATAACAAACCTTATTCTACTCTTACAAGATAAGCAGTAGTCAGTAGGCATTACAGTTCTGCTGGTCCCACTTGGTTTGTGAAGTCTTTATCTGAGCATTCAGCTAGTCGGTGGCTACATGAAGAGTCACAGTTGGCTTGAAGTCCATAAATTTTGTTTAGCAACATGAATTGCTATTAGCTTATCTCCGTTTGCATTTTGACATTTCCTGTTGTCATATGCTGCTAAGGTAGGGAAAAAATGTCAGGGCAAAAGTGGTTACTTTTTTTACATATTGCCATTTTTACATAGCGTAACATATCAAAGCATTGTAACGTAAATGAATACTAGAGTCAAACACTTACTGTTGTCATGAATCTAGGGTGTATAACAACATTCAGGCACTGATGTGTTCTCTCTGGTAACCAGTGACAGGACCCTAGGGAATGGTATGAAGCTGTGTCAGGGAGTGTTTTGTTAGACATTAGGGAAAGGTTCTTCACCTAGAGGGTGGCTGGGCACTGGAACAGGCTACCCAGGAAAGTGGTCATGGCCCCAAGCCTGACAGAGTATCTGGACAATGCTCAAGCAGATGGTGTGATTCTTGGGGCTGTCCTGTGCAGAGGCCAGTTGGACTTTGATCCTCATTGGTCTCTTCTACCTCTGAATATTCTATTATTATATAATTTGAAGTCAGAGTTGTCCATAAGCAGTAGATGAGACCTGAGGTATCACAAATATTTTCATCTAAATGCTGCAGAAGTATCCTTTAAAAAAAAAACAACCAAACCCAAACAACCATTAATTCAGGCTCTCTGACATTTACAACATGCACCTAGAGCTTCTAATGAGCAAGTAAGGTCACTTAAATGAGTCACTGGCATGCTATTGCTGAAGGCAAAGACACTGCTTCACAGGCTGCTTTGAAGTGCAGTTGTGTAACTGTCCCTGCCTGTTAGAATTCAGGGGGTATCTGGCACATTGAGACAAAGGATTTAATTTAGGATCAGTCAAATGCTAAATTCTATCAAGGTGGTTGATACTTAAGTTTAATAGGTGTGAATGAGAAATACAGCATACTAATGTGGGAATGTATCTTTGATCTGCATGGGAAAAGACGCAAGTTTCCAGCACTATGAGTCTGTGTAACTATGAGAGTGGCATATTTTATTGCTCAATTTCAGTGTCATTATGTGAAGGAAAAAGGAAAACATTTCGGTGCTTATGCTGGGATTTTACTTCATAAATTATGCTCTTTCAGAAGCCTTTTCATGAGAAACAGCTTGAATTAACAAATTATTTCTGTCTAATTTGCTTCAGTTTTGAGGTGGATGAATAATCAACATCTAGGTCAGCTGTCTCTAGTTTTCTGAGTGTAGATAAAACTTTGAATGTTAACAGGAAAACCATTTGTAAGTTTCCAATTTTATTTTTTTAATACTGACTAGACCTTTCTGGGGGTAGTGGTTGGATTCCAAGGCCAGTCTGGAATAAAAATTCAGTGCAGAAACCTTATTTCCTCTATTCAAAAGGATGGAGAAAGAACAGGAAAGGAGCTTAAAGATTTCAGAAATTACTCCTTTTCCTTCCTTAAGATCCCACAATGCTTTTTGTTAAACAATTCTTCTGCTGTGTTGGAAGCCTCATTAAAATTAGCCTATATGTATATATTCACCCCCCTTTTTAACAAAGTTTGTTATCTTGGCACAAAAGTAAATCTGCATTTTATATTTATAATTACCAACCAATATGGATTTATATATCTCTAAATTTATACTTGGTTGAAGCAAAAAGCATCCATTTTTGGTTGAAGCAAAAGGGTGCAGTACCCTCTCCTTCTCCTCAGTGTTTTAACTTCTTTACAGAATTCAGTCAAATCCTCTCATATGCTTTTTGGCAATTCTAGGTTGGACCCCCTCAGTCCTCTCCAAAATTCAGTGTGTGCAGAGGCAGAGGAGCAACAGAGGTATTCTTCTTGAAATCATGCTAGTATTTCTAGTGAAATTTAAGAAAAGCAAGATGGCCTAACCACTTTGGACTCTTTACAGGCCTCCTTACAGCTGTACTGGCCTTCATCTTCTATTTATTTATGGTGCATTTAATGGCGAAGTTCTTATTTTACTTTGTGTCTTAATAGCATATGTTTTGTCCTTTTAGCATCTGTATTATTGTCTTTGTAATCCTTTATGCCTACCTTGAAAATCTGATTTCCACTTTCTTTCGGCTTCTTTCTAGGTTATGTAGTGAATGAAAAGTTTATTAATTAGCCCTATTGATCTGTGGCTATATTTCTTCTTCTGTGTGCATATTAATAATTCATAAATTATGCCTATGCTCAAAGCTTGTTTTTTACAAAATCAATTTCTTCAAGAAATTGCTGGTCTATAATGTCCTTCCCTGTCTTTCATCTTGAGAATAGTGATTATCAGTTCTGCAGCTGTTGGTGTGCCTGGATTTCCTTTTTCTCATTTTGCTTCTTGTTTTCACTTGTTGCTAGGTTCTCTTCTTGTATTTTACAGGTATTATATTGGCAATGAAAATTGCTGCCAGGACAACTTATCTCTTCGTGTATTCTGTAGGGTGAATATATTCCTTTGTCCCTGGCTGCTTACTGTTTCTTTTGACTTCTCAAACAATGTAGTGCCTTTGTATGTGAAAGTAGTGTGTCATCTTCATTGTCATCCTGATGACTTCTCCATCTGGGTATGTTTTCCCAATAGCAAAGGTTTCATGGTAGAGAATGCTATTCATTGCCTGTTTGGTTTTCAAAAGTATGTAGAAAAGCTGTTGAAAAATGTAGGTCATGATACTAGTAAATCCAGTTTAAAATCTGGAGTATCTAATTGGGATTATTGCAATCTTGGTACTATTAGGTTTTAACAGAGATTCTGCCTTTCCTAAGAGAAACTTGCCCTCGGTGCTGACTTCAAGCAAGTGTTGGAACTGGTTGCCCAGAGAGATTGTGCAGTCTCCATCTTCAGGTGTTTTCAAGAGCTTACTGGATAAAGCTCTGAGCAATCTGGTCTGACCCTTGCAGCTGAACTCCAGAGCTGCATTGCAGCCTGAGTAATTGTCCCTATGATCCCATTCTGTCACTTGTGATCCTTGTCTTTTCTCCTTCAGACTTGCTTATGATACCGTGCCCTTCTATAGGTAAACTGCTGTGATTAGTGAAGGTCAGTTTTCTTGCCTAGGTGAGCTCTCTCTTCTCATTAATTTGCAACATTTTAGCAGTAACTCCTAAATACAAGTTTTTTGTATTATTTCTATCAGAAAAATTCTTAAAGATGAATAAATGTAAGAAAACCCCCACAAACAAACCCTACCACATGCAAAGACCCACCACACAGGAAAAAAATCCCCCAAAATCTGCACAACACCCTCCCACCTCCAAAAAAAACCACCACCACCACCCCCCCAAAAAAAAACTAGCTCTGTACCCTGAACCAAAGCAAGATGGTAAGATGTGATGAGGAGTATTGCTGCTAAAGTAATGTATTCACAAGCCAATCTTAAATATTAAGGTAGATGCTAATTGTGGCCTTCCAGTGACTGAAGGGAACCTGCAAGAAAGTTGGAGAGAGACTTTTGCAAGAGCATGTAGTGGCAAGACTAGGTTTAAATTAAATATTGGGAAAAAATTCTTTGCTCTGAGGGTGGTGAGGCACTGGCACAGCTTGCCCAGAGAAGTTGTGGATGCCCCATCCCTGGAAGTGTTCAGGCCAAGTTGGATTGAGCTCTGAGGAACCTGATCTAGTGGAAGGTGTCCCTGTCCACAGCAGAGGGGTTGGAGCCAGATATTTTTGGTGTCACTTCCAACCCAGTCAATTCTGTGATTCTGTGCACCTTCTGATTTCCCTAGCCTCTCACATTGAACATGAGAATCCAAGTGAGCGCATTGAATAAAGGGAAGTTCAGCGTGTACTTTTTTCTGTCTGGCAGCTGTACCACTGTAGGTAAGTGCCATTTCCATGTCAGTGTGTATGTATAAGCAAATAATCACTTATGGTCAACAAAGTGGCCCTGTTAAAGCATTGCACTTGATTTTTTCATGCATTGAATCTCTAATTCTGTGTGCAGTTTCAGTTTTGAAGAAGGAGATGGTGAATTAACTCATGAACCCTATGAACTACTCTGGATAGAATTAATTCGATTTGATTTTTTTCTTAGTAAGTTTTTTCTCTAGATTTTTTTCTTAGATGTAACCTTGTTACATCTTCAGGGTGAACAGAAAAATACACATGGGCCTTTCCTAGGAAATACAGTCAATTCTCAAAGTAAAATCAGGGAGAGCTTCTCTTCTGTCTCCTGAGACAGATTCACCTAGAGAAGATTAGTGTGTTATATATCTGAATCTCTGGGGGTAGCTAAAAAAAGAAAAAAATGTGCCTAAGTAAAGAAAAATGCAATTTAGGGTAATATGTTATTCTACAGGTGTATTTAAGGACACTTGCCCTTCTGTTGGTGATTGATAACTGTGAAAGCTTCAATAAAAATATGAAACCTATATCTGTAAGCTTCATATTTTACCTTCTGTTGTTTCCAATTTTAAATTGCTCGAAGAAGTACTAAAAAAACAACCCACAGGGGAAGCTATTTTTGTATTTAATTTGCTAAATCACAGAAGTACAAGGAAATGTTGGTGTGTTAATGATAGGTTTCTAATCCACACTTCATAAGGGTTGTTTCTTAGTAATTTGTAGCCTTCTATATTTTTGACTTAGAGTGACTTTTTTTAATGAGTGAAGTTGGAAAGACTTGTATATTTAGCTGTTAAATGCTGGTATGAGTTATCCTACATTGCTTTGCGAGTTTATTCAGCCTGACCTCTGAGAATCCATTTACTGCAATATCGAAGATCATTGAGGTGTACACTGCTTGTATGGTAGTTACTAAAACAACACTAAGGAGAAATGCTGGTACAATACTTGAAAACTGGCCTTTGATTTTCATCTAAGATGGGCAAAAATACTTTCCAAGAGTTTGAGGGCTGGATTTGTCAAAATATATCCAACAAAAAGTCGTCTTAATAAAGTCTTTAATCTTATGCTATCATTTTACATGTAGCTAATAACCTAACTAAGTGTTAAGAAGCACTCACCATCAGATGGAGTCAGCCTTGGTTTGCCCACTGCAGTGACTGGTCGCTCCAGCATTTGATTTGCATGTTCTACTGTCACCACTGCTTCTTAGTGTGTTCACAAAGGGTAAAGTGTGAAAACATGCTGCTTTCACCAGTATATGTATTTTAACTTATAGAAGAAGGTATGTAGAACATCTAGGCAGACATGTTGATTTAGAATCATAGAATGGTTTGAATTGTAAGTTGACTTGGAAATTTGAGTTGGATCTTAACAATCATTAGTTTCAACCCCCTGTCTTGGGCAGGGACACCTTTCACTGGAGGACATTGCTCAAAGCCCCATCCAACCTGGCCTCGAACATTTCCAGGGATGGGGCATCCATGACCTCTGGGCAACCTGTGCAGATGCCTCATTACCCTCTGAGTAAAGAATTTCTTCCTAACATCTAATCTAAATCTTTCCTCATTTACTTTAAAACCATTCCCCCTTGCCTTATCACTATCCATGCACCCAAAGTTTGCTCTGCACACCCTAAACAAATCATCCTGGGTTACCTTCGTCCAATACTTTTGTGAGTATAGCTTTTAATTCATCTAGATGTAATGAGAATTACTACATTTAATCTCATTGGATGATTAGCCATGGGATCATGCCAGTGTTAGTATCATTGCCACTATAACTGGTTCAGGACAACTAACTTGAGACCAAGACTGCTTAGAGGATCAAAAGATTTTCAAAAGCATTCCCGTGTCTTCTGTTGTCCATACACTTCTTTGTTGCTAGCTTAATTCACTTTCTGAAAGTTTCTATGTACAGGCAGAAATTAAGTGCTTCAGCACAGTTTGTTATCCTTTTTGGTCTGTACTTTTATCTTTGCCCCATCTGTGTTGCCAGAGCTATATCCTTTGCATTTAGCCAAGAAATAGTAGCACAAGTGAAATCTTAATTAGGTAATCTGTTGTATATTGAAGTGCAGTGAGAAAATGAGAGCTGATTTACATAGGAGTTAAAAAGAAAATAAATATTTACACACACACCCATGTTGTAGTTGTGTGTCTGGAAAGCAGAAAGCCAGAAGTAGGAATGCTTACACATGTGATTGTAAAATATAAACCTATAACAGTTCCTAATCTTGATTTTAAAACAGACTGTGAAAGGATGAAGATGAGGCCATCAGAAAGTATGCAGAGAGGAAGATATCCTGGTCCTAGTGGAAGGTGTCCCTGCGTATTGCAGGGTGGTTGGACTAAATGGTTTTTAAACGTAAACCTTTCTATGATCACCTACAGTCTTTTTGTATATCTTTGGTTACCCTTCCTGAGTCCTACTCAATTATGTCCAGACTTCCTAAATTGATGAGTAAATTGTTACATAGGTAATCTCTGTAATAGGGCAGTCATATATAACAGAGAGGACCCAGTGTATTTTAATTATGTGAATGTATTTGATTTGTCATAGATGTTTGTGTGAGTCAAACCAGGCTGTACAGAAAAGAGTAGTTAGTTTCTAAATACGCAGTAAGCCTTACTTAATTTTACAGCTGGTCAGTAGAAATTTTTGTCTCTTCTGCAAAGCTTTTAATGATGCTGGATCATCCCTCGCACAAATAGCACTTGGATTCTTTTATCAATAGTAAGCATTGAAGAACAAAATACAAATTACCCTATCTTATGATTTGCATTTACTTTGTCAATGTGTCATTAAGCATACATAAGATTAAATTTAAAAATTACATTAAAATATATATTTTAAAACATTGTAAAAGCATAGCAATTCAATAATAAATGTGGTAATGTGTCAACTTTTCCATTTTCAGTTCTATCTATACAAGAGTTCATTTGCTTTTGCTGCTTTCCTCCCCTGTATTGGGTAGGAAATTTAGTCTGAGCACCAAACTGGACAGAATTCCGGCTTTTTTTGTTCCAGTGAGAATGCAGGTTAGTATTTTCAATGCAGTGGCACTAGAACAAAAGAGACCACACTGCAAAATAAAATACTTTTATTATGTACTTAATTAAAATGCACAAGTGTTGTTTAATGTTTTAGTGAAAGTAGTGTTCAGATGACTCGATGCTCATAAGATTCTGAAATATGAAAAGTGACTCTTTTTTTAGAGCTTTTAAGTTGGAAGGCAAGTGGGCATGTTTATAAAATGTTACTTTCTCTGAGAAATACTTAATTTATGAAGATCTTAAATCTCTTTTGATCCCATTATTCAGTATCTGGTTAACAGTATTTGCATGAAATATGCTATAGATGTGTGACGACATAGTGATACTAACTTTAGTAGTGCTCTCTAGCAATACAGATATAATTATATAAATTGTTTTTAAAATAGCATAGCCATAACAATGGCATTTGCTCTAAATAGTTTTAAGGGAATCATTAAATATATCAGGGCTTTCAGCAGCATTGATAAATTATTAAATTTAATGTATAGTGTAGATCACAGAAGCAAGGAGTGAAATGCTTGTGGGAGACATTGTTCTGCTGTGTAGTAAAATGTGCAGTGGAATAGTAGCAGACATTGTTGATGCTGAAAGGATACTGAAAAGAGTGGCTAGATGTAGTTTATGGTTTTGTATGTTGTACATAACTACAAATGAATGGTAATTCGAATGTGTTTATAAAATAAAAGGGAAGAGGTGTGTATACAGTGCACATAAAAGCTATTGAGGACTAATGCTGACAAAAGTGTAATTTCCGTAATCTTTTTCATAAGAAAAGGTAACAGACGTAACGATTTTTCCAAAAAATGTGGATATCTTTGGGCACCTACCCTGTAGAACTCAGCAATCAACTTGGCAGTTTTGATCTTTTCTCTTATTTTGCTGCACAAACTTGTGGTGAAGAGATTAGTTACCATTAGTGATTTGGTAGCTAATTGACAGTTTTGCTTTTTTCCTCGTATGCATCCTTTTTTTTTCTTTGCCTTCTGTCAGCAAAACCCATGCAATCTTCTATACTGAAATGTCTCAGAGTAAAGTTGAAGTTACTTATGTTTTGTCATGCTTCAGTCTTCCTTGTCACTAGAGATTTAAATCATAAGGCTGGTGGTTGGGAAACTCATCTGATAAGAGAGTTGTGTAACAAGACTTGAAAACAGTTCTGTTAATATCACAATCCTTAGATTTTTGAGCAGGCCTATTTTCAAAAGGTTGAGCAAACACAGAAGCCCAAAAGCAGTTTAAGAATCACTGACTTTTTTGTAAGAGTGTTGCTTGACTCATCCCTAATCCTATTAAATACAAGCTCTAGCAAAATAAGATTCTTCCATGGCTTAGAATTGAGGAAGCAGATTGTGGATTATAGAGCACTGTTACTTCCATCTCTGTTTTGGGTGTTGGGTAGTGGAGGGTTTCTTTCTGTTGTAACTTCAGGAGAGAAAATGACATTTTAATTACGTACATTAAATAAATTAAAAGGGACTGATAATTATAAAATTAACTTACTCTATTTGTTGTTGTCCCAAATAAGAAAAAATTGACTTTTGAATACGATTAGCTCTATATTTCCCCATATTTTTTCTTACATTTTCTGATTTTATTTTTTGAACTTTTTTTCTAAATCTGTTTGAATCCCTTTAAGTATCTGTACAGGTATTCCAACTAGTTGCACTTTGTTAAATAATTCACCCCATTTAACAACTGCAGTCAGAATGTTTGTCTCTTAAAAAGTCTCTTATTAAATATATTCTTTTTGTTCCTTTGTGCTATAATAATTCAAACTCTTTTCCAGAAATCTCTCAAAGGAGTTGTGGGATTTTCTTCTCTAAAATGATATGCTTTTCTCATTAACACTTGATCAGATTCTGACAGACTGTAAAATAATGCTAAATGTCAATTGATTTTGACAGTCACAATTATGTTACTTCTTAGATGCAATTCAAATGCATCATTTTGTTTAGGGGTACATTTTTAGTCTAGTTCATCGCTGAAGGTGCTGTGCATATCTGCTGTAATGCTATAAACTTAACCATTCATGCCAAATTGCAGAAGAGACTAGAAAGTACTTTCTTTAATAGAAGTCACTATGCTAAAATTAAATTTTCAAGACAAAATGTCCCACAGCTTCTATATGTTCTGTATGGTTTTCCACTCTTAAGTTTTCTGTTATTGTGTTTGCTTTATATTTATTAGCATCCTGCAGTTACCACGGTTCTAGATTTTTTGCTTTGATTTCTTTCCCATTTAAGAGTTATTTGGCATAGTTCCTTAACAGTTGTTTTTAAGTATAAAATTCTTCTCGATTCTGATGCTGGAGAATATGGAGGGCATCAAAGGCTGGACCACAATACCGAGTACTTCTCTCAAGAATATCCTCACAATTGTCGACCTAATTCACTTATGGTAAGATTTTATTTTCTATTTTTTAGTTCTACTTTCATCTGTGAAAGTTTTGCAATTCTTTGGACTAATATGGAATCTATGCTAGTATTTTGGGGAGGTGGTAGTTTTAATTTGTTTTCTGAAATTAGCCTTTCTGTGTAAATACATTAGAGATGACAATGTTATGATTTCATTATAACCAATAATTTTAACAGATTTTTCTTTTTCAACATTAGCATTAAATTTCCATGTGCTCTTGCAGTGTCTAGCATAGTGTTCCCTGCCAACATGCATGAAAACCTACTAATGTGCTTTTGAGTTGCCATTTTTAATATTATAACTTGCTTTATTTTCATGCCTGAGAAACTCCATCTTCATGCTTGCTTTGTGATTTAAAGCTCTTTATAAACTAAATCTTGCATTGCTGTCTTAAAATCATATGCTTAATTCCACAAACACGAGTTAGAGCAAGTCATGCATTTGCCAATTGACTTTCTCCTCCTCAGTTTACAGAAAAACTTTGCAAAATGGAACAGAATATCTCTGTTCACATCAAGAATTTCCAGTCCTAAACTGGTATGAATAATGGATAAAGACTTTCTCACAAACTGCTTCAGATGAAGTAGGAGGCATATCCTTGCATACAATTTCTGTTAGCTGAGATGGTCACTAATAAAATTCTACCTTTATTAATTACTCCTGAAATCAGAATCACCACAATTAATGATTTTAACATGTCATTTTCCCCATTCTTTATATATATAGGTATACATGTATGCACTTATTTTCCATTCTTTATATATATATTCACATGTGTATGTGTTCACAAGCACAACAGAGTAAGATTCAAAAAGGCTGTGAATTAAGGCAAGAGTTTACTGAAGAAGTTCTGAAAATGCTGATTTCACTGAGTAGATTTTCATATTTAAAACATATATGTGGGTGAAGGGATGTGTGTCTCTATGCATAGGTATGTTGATAAACACCTGTAAATAAGTTGCACTCTAATCTTAACAGCCTCCAAATATGGAGTATCTGCACTGATTTGTGTGGACCACCTCTCTTCCATGACAGAATGGAGACGTGAATTTCTAGTGTCACATCTTAACATCTCTCATGAGATTTAAACTCCAGAGAATTATTGTCCCTTTTAATGTCTTTCATTTGTTGTATGCAGAGTATTGGCCTTTCTTTTATTTGCTTGATTTAAAAGAGTTGAAAGAATTCTTGTGTTTTCATTGTGCTTGATGTAAAGGATCTTGGGAACATATTTTGGGTGGGGTTTTTTTTTATAAAGTGTCTGCATGTGACAATGCCCTCGCAGTGTGGGTAAGTATTAGTGCTAATTTGCACACAAAGAAACTGAAGGTCTAAGATTTCATGTCTGAAGGTTATGTGGCAAATTAATGCTTCCAGAGTTCTTGCTTCATGTGTCCAATTCAAATAACTTGCTTTGGTGACTGGAGAGCATCCTAATTATCTACCACTAACTTAAATTTCGCAAGCCAATTAACTGTAATTTGGAATGTGTATTTCACATTTAGATTATAAGATGGTGAGTGCAAGTCATTCAAGATAGGAAAAAAAAGTGACAAAATGTGAAGATGCAATTTTTAGGAGCATGTGGACGATAAGGCATGTGACAAACAAAGCAACAAATGCATTTTGGCAGCATAAGCTGTGGCATGGCAATGGTCAGAAAGAAACCCAGCAGTATGGGTCATGTAAACTTTCTCTTATGTCCTTCAGCAATCCAATTCACAGACCACCTGCAGCCAACCCCTGAGAAGTTGCCACAAGTACCACGTAAAGGTAAAATACTAGCAAAAGGACACTGAGTAAAAGTAATCAAGGAAAAAAAATCTGGAAAACCTGACTAAATTCAGCAAGATAGATCTCCAAGGAAGAAAGAACAAAAGTTACAGTAAATGCCTCCAGCTGCTATTTTGCAGTAAAACAGAGATGTTGTATTTTAAATAGCAATTTACATCAAGTTTCTAGGTAATTTGTCCTGCTTAGGAGTTGCTTTAGTCTTAATTGCAGTTTCAAAAATCCAAGTCAGTCTTCCCCTTGAATTACTTTTCAAAAAACATATGATGCCACCCCATTAAACTCATAAAAGTACTTTTCCTGCTGTTTTAACAATTGTTTTATTATCTTTACATAATGCATTTGACTTGTTTATTATTTCAAAAATTTTAGTTCTTCAACCACAAACTTGAAAGAAGTAATTTTTTAATGAAAGATGCACCTCCCTTACGGTGTGTTAAGTAAACATTGTCAGCAAAACATGCCCGGAGGGTTGTGACAGAATGAAATCACATGCAATAATTCTGCTTCTCAAGTCAAGCTTAAAAAGCACACAAATATATTACAAATACAGAAGATTATATGTGACATGATTCACTGTAGAAGCATCACCTAATAAAAGAAATACTCAAAGTGACATAGCAAAATGAGAAGAAGGGAGATACAAAATTTCTGGAGCAAAGAACCCTGGATGAAGAGGAAGTTTGTAAGCACTGCTAGGCATTCCACTGTACATTTTTCAGGTTTGTTTAGTAAAGATGTAGAGGACAGATTTCAGAATAATCAGACACACCTTGAAAACGCCAAAGAAAAATACGCAAAAATGTCCTTTGTAATATGGATTATTTAATTAATTATTACACTCTAATTTTTTCCATTTCACTGCTTGTTCTATTCTGATTGTTAACAAATATATGAAATGTGCATAACTTTCCATGTAATCAAACATTCTAATAACAAGTTGTGAACCATGCTGCCACTGTAAGTATAGACTCTTTGTACTGCAGCTTTATTTCTGTTTACATCTTCACTGTGGTGTTCTTCTAATAGTCTTCTTGGGGGTATGTTTTGTAAAAGATGTGTGTTTTTCAATGCTTCTACAAACTTTTAGTTTTGCTTCTATCTTATCTCTTTGCTAGATGTAAATTAAGTGTTGCACACACATTTCAGCTCATCAGATTCTAGTGCCCCTTTGGGAATGAAGTCATTTGTTGATACCTTGGGATTTGTAGTTGGATGTGAAACTTAGATTTGGGGCAAAGGGAAGACAAAGAATAATTTTATAATAACACATCATTCAAAATGTTTTTTTCAGTATTTTCTAAAGTATCTGACTTGAATGAGTTTTGCCATTAAAACAACCCTAGATATCAATGTGTGTTCTATCACTTTAATATTTTTGTACCACAACAAAAGTTAGGATTTATAACAAAATGGTGGGGTTTCATGCTTTCCTACTCCGTTTACCAAAAGAACTGACCAATAACCAGGCTCAATGGACTATTGCGGAGTATATTTTTTAATTGGAAAAGTATAGTACCAAAAGAACTGAGCAATAAGCAGGCTCAATGGACTATTGCAGAGTATATTTTTTAATTGGAAAAGTATATAGTTTATTGAGAAATATAGTTATTTATTATATATCAGCCTTTATGGATTTACTTTTTCTGTAGTTTATTCCAATTAATTAAAAAAATAAGATAAATGCCAAAGTATTCCTTTTCCCCCGTCCCCAGTGCTATCTTTTTTCTGATTCTCTATTTTTGGCATCCACTGATAGATCTTTTCACATTAAATGAAATTGAAATTATATAGTTTATTTTAAGAATATCCTTATTACAGGGTTGGGTTTTAACCTTGACCTTAATGTATACTATTCAATGTCAAAGTGCAACTTCCTGCTTCCTTGAGTCTATTGACAAATTAAAATACCCACATAGATTGAAATGATCTAAAAGCTTTTAGTGACCTTAGCTTTGAAAATACTCATTTGAATAACTTTCATGGTAAGGATTTTTGTATTGAATTTTAAGGGACTGATGTAATCTTTAACTGTTTTCTCCCCTGACAGGCACAGATATACAGATTAAATGAAAGAACGTTTGTACTTAGGAAATTAACTCTTCTAACTAGGGGAATCAATAAGACTTTAATACCCACAACGTCTTTTGATATCTTTACCTCGGGATGATCAAGACTTATAAATTCATTTGCTCATCTTCACTGATCATTTGACTTCTTAAATCCACCAGCCAAATATAATGATCCAAAGTTATTCTGTTAGTAATGTTTTTCAGTCTACTTGTTTCTCAGGGGTTTTAGTTGTCTTTTTGAAAGTACTTTTTATTGACCTGAAAAAAGAGTGCAGAAGATAATAGAGGAGAAATTTTGAAATACAGCCTATGCAGTATACAGATTTCTTTTGCATAAATGAAGCAAGACAGTCTGAGAAATTATTTTCTGCATATTCATGCTGTACAGCTGTAAATTGAAAACCAAAGTGGAAGGCAGAACTTCACATTATTTTAAGCATACCTTCTTTGTCATGTGCAATATCTAGCAAAGTGAAAACCAAAATGTCTGAGGTTTTGTATAATAAATTATAGTTAGAAAAGCTATCATCTATTTTATTCATTGATGGTTAATTATATTCTCAGAATAATGTCAGTGTCTGACAATTAATAGTGATACAGAGACATGAGATTGTCTGAAGCCCTCGTTTTAATTAAAAGTTTGGGATAATGTTGGCAGAGACTCTTCTGACATTGCCTTCTGCATCTACCAGCTGCAATATGTGCTATCGAATATTTTTTTGCAGTGCCTGATCTAGCTCTGAGTTCTAGTAATTCTCCCATCTGTTACAAAATGACCTTGAAATGATTTTTAGGGCTTGGTGTTTTCCAACCCTGAAAGTAGGAGGAAGAGTAGTTCATTGCAGTTCCAGCCAATTTCAGTTGTGCTTGCACCTGGTACTGAATTAGTCTGACAGATCTGAAAGTAGCAGTTGTCATTTGCAGAACCTCTTGCTTGTGGGTGTTTAGATATATTTGGAGATTGCTGTGTATTTTAGTCCTCTTCCTAAAATATGTGAGGTGAGATTTCTACTTATAGTTGCTGCTGTTTGCAAGTGCTTCATACATGTGGTGTTCCTTAGCTTTTCTAATCTCTCATTTCTTTAAATTATCTGAATATTCACAGAAAAAAAAAGTATAAGGAATAAGCATTTGGCTGAAAAGCGTCTTCCATTCCTGGCCAGTAGTACTACCCGTTGTTTTTAACCTGTTTGTGAGAGCCATCATGAATAGACTATGATCTTGCTAGAATCCCATCTATGTTGGTGGAAAGGAGATTGATTATAAAAATATCTGGTTTTTTGATCTCTGTATTAGAGTGGTTACACTATTTTAGTGCCAGAAGCCTTGATCTGTGTGGGGTTTGCCTAGTTTCAGACAGAGCAACTGCCTTGTAGTATAAATGGACACGCAGTATAAAAAGGTCAGAGGTGATGGCAAAAAGCATTTTGTGTTTGAATTATAAACAAGATTCCTGTCCTCCATCATCCTCTCTGTTAGCACACCTGCTGGTGAAGTTAACAGAAGTGACTTTACTTCATTCCTGACAAATACTCCACTGAGAATAAAAAGACTTTCAATTTCAGTATTTGACTAAACTTTGGAATGTTAACTTTGTCAAAAACTTTACAGCTGAGTCATCCTAACTGTCCCAAACAGATCTGGTGTTTTCCGATCCCCATATTCCACTCCCCAATCAGAGAAGTCCTCATGAGTCTTACTCTGTGTGTTTTTAAATGTTTTCATGGCTTCCTAAAATAGTGGAGTTTGTGTGACATCTTAGAGGACCTGAGGTAGTAAGTAAGCAATTGATATAGAAAGCACAGGGCCATTCATTGTGTTGTTGGGCCTGAAGTTATATCAGGAGAGGTTCAGGTTAGATATGAGAAAAAGGTTCTTCACCCAGAGGGTGTTTGAGCACTGAAACAGACTCCTCAGGGCAGTGGTCACAGCACCAAGCCTGACAGAGTTCAAGAAGCATTTGGACAATGCTCTCAGGCACATGGTATTGTTCTTGGGGCTGTCCTGTGCAGGGCCAAGAGTTGGACTTGATGATCCTTGTGGATCTCTTCCAGCTCCAAATATTCTGTGATTCTGTGCATTCTCTGACATATCTAAAGCTCTGAGTAACCTGATCTGACCTGAGAGCTGACCCAGCTTTCAGCAGGGAGTTTGGGCCTCCTGAGGCCCTTTCCCACATAGATGAGCCTGTTGGGGAGGAAAGAGCTGGGAAGGTCGTTCCAGATGAACGGAAAGCTTGAAACAGAATAGAGATGCTGAGGATGATTTAATTGAATGACAGTCAAGACATGGGTTAGCTATGAATGCATTCTCTTTAGCATTCTGTTCTTTGCGCTTTCACATCTGTTTGTGTTCACCAAATGAGGCTTGTGAAATGGTGAAAGAGACAGGAATGGGATAGAAATTGTGATCAGAAAAAACAGGTTTGAAGAGTAGAGATCAATAGAACTGAAGCTGGTAATTTGAAGTATATAATTTTGCAACAGTATATGAAGGAATGCATTTCTGATATAGTCTTCCTAGTGTACAGAAAAAGTCAAAAATTAAATCTGTGTAAGGTATTTTGCTGATGAATACCTAGGTTTCCTATAATGGTTTTCATCGGGACACCTCTATGTACTTATCTATTTATATAAATAGATATATATATCAGGCCATGTACAAGCTATACACATAAACTAGCTAGAGGTAATGAAGAAAGGCAAGAAGGTGATTCTACAGGTAGTAGGAAAAGCAGCTTAATTAATACATGCAAGTCCCTTGACAAAGGAAGAGTTAAAACTATGACATTATGGACAGTACAGAAGCATTCAATGCCTTTTTTTTTTTTTTTTTTTTTTGCTCGGACTCTAAGGGCAAAGCCTGCTTTCAGACCCTCTCCTGTGACAGTGCACCACTGAAAATAAAGTAGCAGAGCAATAGTTTAGGGACATCTTAGAGATGCTGTTTGTAAATGGGATAAATCCAGAGGCTTGAAAGTATTTCAGTGATGTGATTGCAAGGTGCAAGGCTGCTGACTGTATGTGTGAAAAATCATAGTGGTCAAGGAAAATTTATGACAACTGAACAAAGGCTGTAGTAGATGTGAAAAGGAAAGCTGACATGTCTGTAGGGCAGTCAGCCTCTCCCTTCAGTGCCTTGAGAAGTCTTCTTCCTCTTGGAATCTGTATCCAAGCAAGTGGGGTCTATAAGATTTAGCAAAGGCAGAATGCATGTTCAGCCTGATTGCTTTCTGTGCACAAGGTTGCTCCAGTCAATGCATTAAACCTTTCAGCTTTGCCTCCTACAGCATTCTTGCCCAGGAGCTGAGGACATACAGGCTGGATAAGATGGTTGTTGGGTGGGTTAAAAACTGGCTGGGCTGCTGTAGTTTTGGCTGTCAGAAGCTTAGTGTCCAGCTGTTGACTGGTATCAAGGAAAATATTTTAGGAATTGCTGAGAGGACTGATGCTGTTTGGAGTCTTAAGCAGTGACCAGCATGATGAGACGCAGCACACCTTCAGCACGTTTGTAGATGACACTGATTTAGAGTGAATAGTTGATCAATTGTATGCTTGAGGTCCAATCCAGACATCTTTTTTTAATTGTATCGCTTAATGGCAAATTGCAGCATATGCTTGGAGCACAGTCTACTCATTACATGTCAGTACACTTAGGAAAAGGACAGAGAAAATAATTTTAAATTAATGGGGATATGTTACTACAAGAGTGGATGTTCATTTGAGAGGTCTGGAGGAAAAGGGTTAATACCGGAGTGAAAAGGCTGAGGAAGTTCTGGGATTCAGGGTGTCAGAAGGGAAAGAAATGGAGGTGAAAATCTGGGATGAAAAGGCTGAAAACCCTGCTGGGATCCTGGGCAGATAATCTTCCATATTTCACCTTACCTCAGAAAAGGCAAGGAATCTTTCTAGCCTCATTGGTCACACTTTTTTCCCCCAGTCCATCACACAAATATTCTATCTATTTAAACAAATAATAAAGCCAGAGCACATACACTGTTGCATTTCTGGAAATACTATTGGACTGGGGGGAAGGAATAATACCTATATATTTGTAACAAGAATTGCCTAATAATTGTGTAGTATTCTTCCTTTTAAAAAGATTGTACAGCACTGGAATGAATAATTAATCATCTTATTTGTAATTTTTAATATGTTTAATCAATAATTTATATGTATTCATTGTTCATGCCCTAATTATTGGCTTTGCCAGTTTATTTAAGCCTTAGAGGTAGTTACATTGACCAATGAAATAAAATTAGGAGATAGTGCTGTATGTTAAGGTTTGGAGGTAGTGCCATCTGTGGGTGTTCTAAGATTTACCAGGAAATCCACCAAGACAACAGCAACAACAAAAAACCAACACTAAAATGCATGTTTAATTTGCCTAGCTAAGGAAAACACATCTGCCTAAAGTAATACGCTGGCAGATACATCTCTTCATGGCAAACAGAAAATGTATCTGTCATTAGTCTAAATAAAATCATCTGCACAAGTTCTGAAATTTTGCTTAAAATCAGCTTTAAAATGTTGGTTGGCAATGAAGTGGTCAAAGTAGGATGCTTCCACACTGCTCTCAGATTCTCAGCTGACGTAAATTGACTTTAAAGGAACTGGGCTAATTTACTCCCCCTAGGATCTGCCATATTATTGACCAGAATATAATTGACAGTTGCTGTGTCCTGTATTAGTGCTAATTTTTATTCCCTTAACTGAAGTAACATTTTACAAATTCTTCCTTAGAATCTAACTTCACTTTGTTCCTTCTCCCCCACACTTCATCATCCAAACCCAGAGTGCTGAATTTCTCAATACACAATTTCAAAATCTCTCCTTTATCTATATGTTTTGAGGTAGTTGACTTCATTAAGTATTTCTACTCCTGCACAGATTCATAGAAGCTATTTATCACTGAAACCTTAGGGGAAATCACTATGATCACTGCCTTTCAAGAAGCTTTGGACATAGCACTGTCTGGTTCAATGAAGATCAGCTGTTCTTGTCTTTTTCTCCTTTTCCTAAGGCTTTTTGCTTTATTGCTTTATTCTGTTTTGAAAACAATGAAAGCCTTTCATGCCATCAGACTCTATTTAGGAGATAACATAGTTGAAATTACAGAATATTAGACATTCCACAGGGATGAAAGATAGTCTAAAAGAGGATGTTGTCAGAATGAAGCCCAAAATCTTCAATCTTGTGTTACCTTTTATAATTGCATTTTTATTGACTTGTTCAGAAAACGCATTCATAGACTTGACAACTGATGGAGTACCATATATCAAGGTAATTGGTAGATAGTACATATCAGTCTTGTTTTCAGATTGTGACTCTACTCTGCTTGGAAGGAATGTCATGTAAAATATATTGCCACAAGTTCTTTTGTGATCAATGAGGAGTCTTTTGATTATGTGTGTTTGGGTTTTTCACGGCAGTCATGAAAAAAGGGGTAAGAAAAATGCAATATAAATGGTTAATTTTGATTGTCTGGTTTTAAGAGTGTTTTATTGCTCAGACAGTGAAATTTCATAGGTGTCAAGAGTGAGAAGAGTATACTGCCATGTCATGTTGCTGGTATTTACCTGTATGAAATGACATCACAGGCCTTGGGGCAATTTTCATTCACAGCAGAAGAGTGTTGTCATTTGTCATTGTATGGTCTAGTGACCTAGATGTCCTCAGGCTTTTGAAACTGGTCATTGTAAGTCATATGAGGCCCTCTACTGGTAGCCACCTAAAATAGAAGGAGATTTAAACAAAATAAATAGAAAATAGATTAGAAAAGAGATTGCAGTCAAGTTGCCTTTGAAAATTTTAAATTATTTTGTGTAATTCAAATGCTTGAGACTAAGCAATCAATAATCAGTCTTTAAATGTAATAATTATGTCCCATGACACTGCACAAATTACATTTTTAACAGATAAAATATGGGGGTTTTCACATACTGCTATTTAGAAGTTGTATCCTGCAAGGTTGGTGGGCTTTTTTCAACTGTTCTTGTTCTTGTCATATTTTTTCCTAGGTGTACATTCCAAGCAGAGTGGCTATTGTGCTTCAGAATATGGATGTCCCAAAATGAAGTTCTCTGTAACTATCACTGAAGAAGCAAGTCATAGAAGAAGTGTTGAAACACTGTACTAGTACTAAGTATAACAAAATTTGCTCTAAGGAGGCTTTCTGAAACTGAATATAGTAATATTAGGTGTTTAAAATTTAGGATTAATATTCACATATAATTGCAGAGCTCTTGACTGCTAGACCCTCCTTTGAGGAAACCTTATCAAAAGGCAGAAAGGAAAACGTTGGGTTTGTAGTTCTAGTAGTACAAAATTACACTTAAGATGTTGCAAAGCAGCAGGCATTCTCGATTAAATTGTTGTTTACAGAATTTTATCAGGAATAATAAGAGTGATCCTGCTCCAAAGCTTGTAATTTCTTGTAATCCTCATTTTGATAGTGAATTCAAATGTTCATTATATATTAATGCTTCTTACTAAAAGTAAGTAGTTTGCTTAAATAAAACAGAAGTTTTTGGCTAAAAGGCAGCCTTAACGGTTTCTGGGACCTAATTTGAGGCTCCTCTTCTTCAATGAAATCCAACATGGAATTAGAAATGTTTATCAAAATGGATGAGAAGGTCCTCTGAGAGTATTGTGCTTCGACATTTTTTATTTAATCAAAATTGCACAAAACTGCTGAACAGCAGAACGAGCAGGCCGATTGACTGGTGACCTGCTGATGCTATTGTGTGTGTGGCTTATTTGCTCCCAATCAAATCACTTAGTCTGTGCATCTCACTTGCTACAGCTGGACAAAAATGACACAAGTGTTTTATTTAGATCACTAAAATGTTCAGTGAGAAGTGTGTTTTGTTCTTGCTGCAATGATACCACACTGGAAGATGTGCTTAAAATGTAGTACTTCCAGTTGCATTTTTTGCTAATGTCAGGACCTTGCAATACTGATTTCACTCATTTCCAGAAGTTTCAGCTTGGAACATGATGATGTTCTTGCACTTTTATGACTTTTGAAACATTGCTTCTCATGAAGAAGCAGTCTCAAAATACAGTGATCAAGCTAAGGTGGTTTTTTGATTAAAATTAAGATAGCTAATTCTTGGAGTGCTGCTCAGATATAATTCAAGTGAGTTCCTTCATGAGCTACATTTTTGTAAAGAGTAAGATTTTGTATATTTGACATGATGATGTTCTTGCACTTTTATGACTTTTGAAACATTGCTTCTCATGAAGAAGCAGTCTCAAAATACAGTGATCAAGCTAAGGTGGTTTTTTGATTAAAATTAAGATAGCTAATTCTTGGAGTGCTGCTCAGATATAATTCAAGTGAGTTCCTTCATGAGCTACATTTTTGTAAAGAGTAAGATTTTGTATATTTGAAAATGTATTGCAGAGTTATTCTGGAAAATTGATACCAAATTAATGAGACATGCTTTATTTTGTTCCATTTATTTAAAAACATATTTGAATTGGTTCTGAAATGAATGTCTTTTGTACAAATCTGAATTTTCTAACTTTTAAAGTAGCCAAAGAGGAAGATGTCCGTGAACATTTCCAAGTCATAATTTTACCCAGTTTCCTGTGTGAACCATTGTGTAAATTACTGAATAGTTGTGCCAACACAAAAATCTATTCACAGTTCTTGGAATGCTTACTTGTGGCTTACTTAAGCAAAATAAGGGATGGAATAATGCAGCATGATGGAAAACATTCTTTTGCAGAGTTCACACTGAAAGGACTTTGTGAACATCCCCAGTCTGATACGTTCTGTGTGACAGAGAATTTTATATTGCAGTTGAGTACCATAGGATCATGCTTCATTTTCCTCTACACTAGTTTGATCATTGTTTGGCTGTGGGCTAATAAAAGCATTCCTGTTACGCTATGACTTTAAATAAAATATACTGAACTGTTTTAGCAACTGAAACTGATTATATTTTTTTCCCAGTTTGTTTTACTGGTAGTGAAATAACGAGCAACTTCTAATACATGTTATATTTACACTGTATTGATCTAATATGTTTTATAGGGTGGTTTTTTTTTACTGGCACCAGTTCCAGGTTTCAAAATGTAATGCAAGGCAAGCGTCTGTGTCAAACCTTTTTTTCAAGAGAAGGAATAAATGTATGATGTGAAGTATAAATTGTAAAATTACATGCAAAATAAACTCTGAGGAGGAGAAAACAAATGCATATATGGTTTCACTGCTTGTATTGTAAAGTGATTGTACAGTAGTCTTAACACTGGAAGATGGATTAGATTTTGTTCCATCTTGGAATCAGGAACTTGTCTTGGTCAAAAACGCTCATGAGATTGGTAGAATATTTGGCCTTTGCACATTTTCTTTGACACAGGAATAAAAGTGAATGCAAAATTCACAAGGTGAACAGTGTAATAGTTAGGGCTTTTTTGGGGGCCACCTCTAAATTCTAATGCTGGGTGTGCTCCTTCCTGTCTTGCGAGGCTGGAAAATTTTCCCTTGCACTCTTTGGCACCACCATAGAAGTAAAGTGGTCAATGGTGATATATCCCAGGGCACAGAACTCCACAGATATTAAGACATAGCAGAAGAACTCTTTTAAAGATAAGTTCTCTTAGTGTAAAAGACTGACAAGGATTTACGTTTCAACATTTCTAAATATCGGCTTCTCTGTCACCTGAAAGAGTACTGGTAATCCTTGGTAGCTCTGGTCCCAGAAGTTGTTGCTCCATGGTCTCTCTAATAGTCAATGAAAACTCAAGTTCATCTTCACCTGCCAGTTTATTTAAAGATTCAGGCTGACCTTCCCTCCATCTTGCAATGTGTGTGCTGAATGGTCTTTGTGCTTAAGAATTCAAGTTATTCTCTAGACCAGGTGGTTATTAAGATAACAGTCTAGCATCCCTAGACTGGTGTATTCTATGAGCAGTAAATTTGATTTCCCTGCTGCTTTTTTTCTCCTCCTACAATTCAAGCCTTACTGTTCTGAGGTTTACTTCGAAGATCAAGAATGGAGTGGTTATTTGAGCTTGGTGAGTACTTCTGGAAAACAAATTTTAAGGGAAAAACTGAGCTTTCTGGTTTTTTTTTTTCCTATGAAGTTTTCCCTGCTCACTATATTCAATTTTGTAAAGAGTTTGATGGCCATGTGCTCTGAAAGATAGGAATGTGGTGTAGCTAATACTCTGCCAAAGGGAGACCAGCTGTATGAACAGCAAGGTACCAGACTAGGTAAACAATTGTATGGTACTTACAAATAGTGCAGGTGATATTTTTCTGTATTCATCTGTCAGTCACAGTTCTGCTTCAAGTTGCTTGAAACACCATTTGAAAGTAGTTTTGGTTTCCCCATTTTTTTAAGGACTCCAGGTTCTTAAGGGCCCATTAATGGTTAAAGGAAGAACTTCCTTTTTACTTAAGTCTCCCTTCTCAGAGCTTAGAAGTAACTCAGTAGTTAAGTAGTGAAGGGTGAGGGTTAACTGAATGAACAGCAGCAGGAATTATTAAATATGGACGTTCTGTTCTGGATATGTTGAGGTGTGTGATTTGTCTGTCTTCTGCTTCATAATTTAAAGTTCTAAGGAATTTAAGTATTCAGCATTTAAGTTTTATCATTGACTAATGTTTCCAGACTGGCCATGTTATCATCACTGCAGTATTGCTACAGAGATGAAGCAGTATTTAACATATTTTTATACATCATACCTTTGCCAGAATTCTGTTCTGGATATGTTGAGGTGTGTGATTTGTCTGTCTTCTGCTTCATAATTTAAAGTTCTAAGGAATTTAAGTATTCAGCATTTAAGTTTTATCATTGACTAATGTTTCCAGACTGGCCATGTTATCATCACTGCAGTATTGCTACAGAGATGAAGCAGTATTTAACATATTTTTATACATCATACCTTTGCCAGAATCTGAGTTTCATAGAAATCGGCCTATAAGTGGCACCTTCATAACAATTTATTATAAGGGTTTTTTTACCACTGAAGACTCTGCACATGTGTTTTCACACCTTGTAGTATATGGTGCAGGCTGAGAAAGCTGGGAGTGTTCAGCCTGGAGAAGAGAAGGTTGCATGGGGACCTCATAGAAGCCTTTCATTATCTGAAGGGGCCTACAGGGAATCCAGAGAGGAACACTTCATCAGGTGCTGTGCTGACAGGATAAGATGGAATGGCTTCAAACTGAAAGAGAGTAGGTTTAGATTAGATATTAGGGAGAAATTCCTTACTGTGATGGTGGTGAGGCACTGGCACAGGTTGCCCACATAAGCTGTGGATGCCCCATCCTTAGAAGTGTTCAAGGCCAGGTTAGATGGAGCCCTGAGCAACCTGGTGTCTCTGTCCATGGCAAGGGGGTTGGAACTCGATGGTCTTTAAGGAACCTGCCAACACAAGCTGGTCTATGATTCTGTGTGTTTTGAAGGGGTTGAGGGTTTAGGTTATTTGCTGTAATGGAGAACTCTCATGCCAAACTTATTTTCTATTTCTTTAGGTTTCTAGTTTATTTAGAGCTGGTTTCAAATTCTTGAGGAGAAAAACAGCATCTTTGTAAAAGTTTTGTGAGCATTTGAAAAAAACAAAAAAGGAAATCCAAAAGTTTTGGTCATGTTTGCCTTTATAGGGAGAGAAAGATTTATTTTTTCATGCAATATTTCCCTTATGTAGGCTTTTTCATTTCTGATTTATCTGAAAATAAGCTGAACTAGTAGTGATGGGCTGACATATGACTTCTCTTATTAAAAAAGAATTAGACAAGTTGTGAGGTAAAAATAACTCCAGCTGAATATGTTAAAAATATTCTGCTTATGGAAAAGTAGAGATAAAAGCTAATGGTGACTTGTTAGGTGAGACAAATTACATTTTTCATGCCTGAGTACAATATGTACCCTGTAAATATAAATAACTCTTGGATATTCATGGTAAATTAAAGCCTAAAATGAATTAGGAGAAAACATACGAACTTGTAGATATTGAAGTAATGTCTCAGCTTAGCTGATGTTTTTGCATATTAAAAAAGCTATTCAAAACACTGGAAAACAGATCTAAGTGTTTAATTGAAATAGCTCTGAGAACTGTA